CTGCCGTTTTCTTATCTCCATTCTGAGCTCCATGGCCTGCTAAGTGAGCTGCCGTCGCATTAGCCCCCTAGTTCACCCGCGTGCCTGCAGTAACTTTGATTAGTCGTATTTTATTAGCCGCGACGCGGCTCTGTCTGGCAATCGATAACCATGGGTGTCAATCATCTTAGCCACCGAATGTAGTTAGGATGTTGTCAAGTTGTCTCGGCTTGGAATTCCAAGTTAAGAAGGTACCAATGTCAGTAACCAAGGATCTGTTCTTAAGTTAAGGTGGATACGGACGGCGGATACGTTAAGATGTTAGTTCGGACGGCGCTCCAGTTGAGTTGGACAGCAGGAAGGCGTTCCAGCTAAGACGGATAGCAAGCCGTCGAGCGACGTCATTCCAGCTAAGACGGACAGCTAAAACAACGCCGCTGCTGCTTCCACCGTCGTAGCAACATTGCTGTGTTTCGCCGTGAATGCAACGCCGCTGCTTTTCTTATCATCAAAGCGAGGAAGCCGCTATTCCGCCCGAGAGCAACATCGTCGCTGGTATAGCCGTCAAGGCCTAGCTGCTTGCTCCGCCATAAAGCCAACCTCTTTGCTTCTTTACGCGTCGAAGCCTACCAGATGCTTCCGCCGACAAAGCGAAGTCGCTGTTGGTGCTTCCGTCAAATCAGTTTCGCTGCCGTTCCCTTCGCTGACATCCAAGAAACATTGCCGACGTTATCTTCGTCGAAGCAACAGCGTTCATGCTTTCGTCGTCAATGTAACGTTGCTGACCGGTGAAAGTGACATCTCTGCTGCTTCCGCTCTAGACACAAAGTTACTGCCGTTTCCGTCGTTTTCGTCTCCAAAGAAGGCGCTGCTGTTTCCGCCGACAAAACAACGCTACTTCCGTTTTCGTCATCAATAAAACGACACAGCGATTTTCGTGGTCAAAGCGACGTCGCTGCTGCTTCCGCCATCGAAACAGCACCGTTACCGCAATAGCAACGTTATTGCCGTTTCCGCCATCAAAGCGACGGAGCTGCAGATCCCGCCATTAAAGCTCCGTTGCTGCTGTTTCCGCCGTCGCACGGAGATTACGGACGGGGCTTGACCTTGTAAGTGCGATGGGAAGACCTTTCATCTGGGGCAAGTAGAACTTGAGGGGTAAGCGCCGTCAGCCAGAGTCTCAGTCTGATTCTTCGTGCCTTAATCGCCTCCCCGTTCCTACCGTAACTAACCAGCAATTTCTTCTGGTCTCTGGTTCTGTCCTGGCATGCACGCGTGTGCGTGGCCGTGTGATGCATCGATGTGTTTCGCGACGCAGGAATGTGTCAACGGCAGAGGCGCGGTGGTGGACGCGACGAGAGCAACGACTCCAGCCGTAGCAGCAACCGAGCAGCACGCCACAAGTGAGGCGCGGCGAGGGGCGAACCGAGCTTGGTACAGGGGGGCCGTGAAGTGAGTCGTAGGCGCAGAGGCAAGAGTCGTTTCTGCTGCTTCCTGCTCCACCACTGGCTTCCCGCTGCTTCTAACCCTCCCTTATTTCGCTGCTTCTGTTTGGCTGTCTCTCTCCCCCCATGCGTGCGTGTGCCTGACGGCCTCCGAGGTGGAGGGGAATGGCACAGCGTAGACGCGGAATGGCATGCAGTGGGCGCGGAATGGCATGGAGTGGGCACGGAACGGACAGGACTTGCACTGCTGCCTCGCTTGAGAGTCATCCCGAGAGTCATCTCGAGTGTCAGCACGCCTGAAGAGAAGGCGTGGCGCAGGAGTGGGACAGGAGTGGGACAGCGGCGGACTTAGCATGGTACGTGCCAGGGGGTGCTGGTAGGGGGGCCGTGAAGTGAGTCGTAGGGCGTCGCCGCGCAGAGGCAAGAGTCCTTTCCCTTGCCTCCACCACTCGCCTCCTTTCCTACTGCTTCTAACCCTCCCTTATTGCGCTGCTCTGTCTGCGTGCCTCTCTCCCCTCGTGTGTGTGTGCTTCATGGCCTGTGAGACGGAGGGGAATGGCGGGGAGTGGAGCGGGGGTGTTAAGCTTGGGGGCTTAGTTCCAGCCTGGTGAGTGCAGCAGCAGCCCGACACACAGCAGCAGCGCTGGTGAGTGCAGCAGCGCTGGTGACTTGAAGCAGCAGTAGCAACAGCGCCTTGTCTTCTCAGCCAAGTGTGTTGTCCTCTGAACGCTTTTGCCTTTTGTGATGCCAAGCGCTCATCACTTGTCGTGCATGTGCTTCACTGCTTTCTCCTTTGAAATCTCGCCACTGGTTGGATTTGGCCTGACTCACAAGCCTCAGTCCCTTGTTATTGCATGTATCAGCAGCAGACAACACGCAGCCTGGAGCAGCACGCCTGACACGTGGAGCACGGGCAGCAGCACGTGCTGCTTGGGGCGAAGCGAATGTGTGGCGCAGGAGCGGCAGGCTCTCCAAGGAGAAGTGGTACGTGCCAGGGGGTGCTTGCAGAGGCAAAAGTCGTGTCTGTTGCCCTTGCCTACACCACTCGCCTCCTCTTCTGCTGCTCCTAACCCTTCTGCTGCTCCGCTTCCGTGGCTGTCTCTCCCGTGTGTGCCTGTCTCTCTCTCTCCCCATGCGTGTGTGTGCCTCATGGCCTGCAAGGCGGACGGGGATGGCAGCGACTGCAGGATGATGGCGAGCGCACTAGAGGTTGTGAATGGATGAGGTCAACCAGTTCACCGCTTCACTTCTCACCATCTTCCTGCTTTCTCTGTCCCGTTCTCTCTTGTCTACCATGTGTCCACGGGGCCATGAGTCTTTGCAGCGCTGCTGTCAGCTGATCGTGCCTCTCTTCTCACCTCCCTAACCCCTTCTCTCGTGTCCTCTCCTCCTCTCTGCAGCGGCCGGTTGTTGCGACGACAGCAACGACTGCAGCAGCAGAAGCAGCAACGGAGCAACCGTGGCAAAGGGTGGTGCAGGCAGAGCAGGGCAGAGCGGTGCAGGCAGCAGCAGCAACGGAGCAACCGTGGCAAAGGGTGGTGCAGGCAGAGCAGGGCAGAGCGGTGCAGGCAGAAGCAGCAACGGAGCAACCGTGAGCACAGGCAGCGGCAGGGCGCTGCTTGGAGTGAAGGCTTGGCGCAGCAGCAACAGAGCAGCCTGGAGTAGCACGCTGGCAGACAAGGCGTGGTGCAGGCAGAGCGGCAGGGTGGCACACGGAGCATGGTACGTGGCCGGGGTCGCTTGGGGGGGGGCCGTGAAGTGAGTCGTAGGGTGTCGCCGCGCAGAGGCAAGAGTCGTGTCTCATGTTCTTGTCTTTGCCACTCGCCTCCTCTCCTGCTGCTCCTAACCCTCCCTTGTTGCGCCACTTCTGTGTGCGTGTTTTCTCTCCCCATGCGTGTGTGTGCCTCACGTCCTGAGGGGCGGGCGGGGATGGCAGCGAGTGGACAGAGACTGTGCGTGTGCGTGTGGGGGAAAGAGGGGGGGGGGTGGGGGTGTGCATGTGTGCGTGTGCGTGTTTGCATGCCTGCTCTCAGCCTTCAAGCTCTGGAGTGTGGCGGATTGCTCTTTGTGAACCGGCCTGCCCTTCGGTGGGGACAGCAAGACTCAATCTCTTTTAAGACAAGAGGTAACTTGGAATGAAGATGCAGCAGCAGGGCAAATGCACTGTGCGCTACATTTTGTCTTAGTCCCTTTCCAAACTAGCATCTGTCTCAGTCCCTTTCCAAGCTAGCATCTGTCTTGGTCCCTTTCCAAGCTCGCATCTGTCTTAGCCCCTTCACAAGCTAGCATCTGCTCTTTCGCATCCTCATGCCTTCTTCCTCTTCCTTACCATCCCTTCTCCCCTCACCTCCAGCACTCACGGAAGGCAATGGCTCCAGAAACCGCAGCATGATGTAAAGCAAGCACACAATGACTCATGAGTGAAGCAGACCAGCTCACGCACTTTACCACTCCTCTATTCACCGCCTTACTGCTTTCTGTGTTCCGTTCCGTCTTGTCTACTATTTTCCCACGGGTCTTAGAGTCTTTGCTGCTGCCATGCTGCCATGCTGCCATGCTGCCATGCTGCCATGCTGCCATGCTGCCATGTGTCCATGCCACTCTCTCAGCTCCCAAACCTCTCCTTTCCTGTCCTCTCCGCTTCTCTGCATCAACGCAGCAAGAGAAAAAACTGCAACAACTGCAGCAGCAGCACCAGAGGACTACGAGCAACCTGGAGCAGGAGCACAAGCAGCAGCTTGAGGCGAAGGCTTGGCGCAGGAGCAACGGAGCAACGTGGAGCAGCACGGAGCAGCACGGAGCACAGAGGCGTGGTGCAGCAGGCAGAGCGGCCGAGTGGCTAATTGGCAGACGGAGGAGCGTGGTACGTGCCAGGGGGTGCTTGCAGGGGGGCCGTGAACTGTCATAGGGTGTCGCCGCGCAGAGGCAACAGTCGTGTCTGTTGCTTGCGGGTCCACCACTCGCCACCTTCTGCTTCTAACCCTCCCCATATGTGTGTCTCTCTCTCCCCCCCTGTGTGTGTGTCTCTCTCTCCCCCTGTGTGTGTGTGTCTCTCTCCCCCTGTGTGTCCCCCCATTGCCTCGTGGCCTGCGAGACGGAGAGAAATGGCAGCACGTGGACGCCTCAAGTGAAGGCGTGGTGCAAAACTGGGAGAGCAGCGCACAGAGCGTGGTACGTGCCTGGGGATGCTTGCGGGGGGGGCGTGAATTGAGTCTTAGGGTGTAGCCGCGCAGAGGCATGTGTCGTGTCTGTTGCCCTTGCTTCCGCCACTCGCCTTTTGCTGCTTCTGACCCTCCCTTGTTGTGTCTCGTGTGTGTGGCTCTCTCTCTCTCTCCCCATGCGTGTGTGTGCCTCACGTCCTGTGAGGTGGAGGGGAATGGCAGCGAGTGGACGGGGACTGTGCATGTGCGTGTGTGGGGAAGGGGGAAGAGGGGTGGGGGTGGGGGTGTGCATGTGTGCGTGTGCATGCGTGCCTGCGAGTGTGCCTCCTAGGTTCCAAGCCGTGGAGTGCGTTGTGCATCGGTGGGATGGGATGGGGACAACATTTCTTACTCCTTGTGCAAGACAAGAGTGACCATGCAGCAGCAGGTGAGCGTCTTGTCTATATGTTTGTTGGCTTTACATCACTTGTGTTCTTCTCTAGACTCCAGTACCTTACTCGTTTCCCGTCCCCAGCCCTCCCTCCTATCTTTCTGTATCGTAAATTTATGGTGCCCTCACCTCCCCCCCCTATCCCTTCATCCATGCCCTTGTATCCTATCATTGTTGCGACCCTGTTTTCCTCCCTTCTCCATGTCCCATTGCTCTCTCTGGCAGCATCCGTGGGGAAGCAGTGGCAGCAACAGCAGAGCTGCGTATCTACATGGTACGTGTGATGGGGGATTCGGCAATGGTATGTTGCTGACCTTGCTATCGTACATTTCTCACTTGGTGCGCGCCTTTCATTGGCGATTTGGCGTGAACGCAACACACAACTAATCTCTGCCGTCTGATCGTCTTCACTTCTGCGGCTTCTAAGTGGCTCCTCCTTCATCTTTTTTTCCTCCTGTGCCCCACTGCTGCCCCGTTGGCAGCTTCTCCTTGCAAATTTCTCTTCTATGCTCAAGTGAAGTGTGAGGTGGAGGGCATGTGGGGTGGGGTGCCGCTTGCTGCTGCCGCTGAGAGGACATGTGGACGAGGTGGACGAGGTGGACCACCCCACCAAGAGCTCAAAATAGACCGCTGTTGTGCTTTGCTTTGCTTGTCTGTCCTTAGCTGTGCCTGCCAAGGTTTGCTTAGGTGTGCTTAGGTTTGCGTAGCTGTGTTGTGCTGTGCCAGGCTGGGATGGGCCTGCATATTGTGGCATACGTGGGTGGGGTGGGCAGCCTCGAAGGGTGCGTGGGCACAAACACCCAAGCAGGTGCTGTGCGGTGCCAGGCAGCCACACAGTGGTGATCAGAACGTGGAAACGCAGGGCACTGAACCGAAGCATGTGCTGCATGCAGCATGCATGCACATGCAGAACAGGCCACCAGAAAGGCATGTCACGAGGAGACAGGCAAAACCCTTCTCACACAGAAGTGCTGATGGGAGGGACTGGCAGGAAGCAGGGTTGTCACAGATGGTGCAGGAATGTTCAGATGCCACGGCCTTCAGTCAAACAGCCAATCCGAAAGCAGCCATGTAGCAAAGCAGCCAAGCAGTCAACTAACACTACACTGGAGTGACTCCAGCCTACCAGCCAATCAGCTAACCAGCCTGCTTCCCCCCCGGCAAACCCTAAACCAACACTTTAGTCAAACAGCCTATCCCAGATCCTTGCATCCTGGCCTCAAAATTCAACAGGGCAACTATACACTGGCAGTGAGTGGGTGGGTCCAACCAATAGTTTTGTGAATTCAAATTACGCACTAGATGGCCTGTGACTGCATTTGCAGCTGCCAAACCAGTCACCTACGCATGATCCCATTTGGACTTGTATTTTTCAAACATCTCTTAAGCAGGCTTGATCTCTCAAGGTTCTGGAAGGCACACTTTCCTAAAATGTTAAGGATCCATAAATATGATCGTTCGTTGTTTAATTATGATCTGCTACACTTTCGACTCTTTTGCAATATGCCTGCACTAGCTGCTAGGCCACCCGAAACGGCCTTTTCCCGCTCAATTCTGTCACACACAGCCTGGCTGAGACAGTCGAACTAGAAACAGGCAGTGAGAAACATATTCAGTTTCCTCTCATTCCCTTGTGATAACGCTGGCTGGCCCAGTCAGCGAGAATTATGGGCCATGGGAATCGCAGTTCGTAGCGGAGGTCAACGCGCGAAGCGCTAGTTCTGCGTAAGGACAGCTGAGCGAAGCCTGGTGTCGCCGAGAGGCGAGAGATCAAGGCGTAGTCGCGCGCCATGGGGGATTCAGGCGAGCCGTTTTCGCTCGACCTGCACGGGCCGGGCGCCGCCACGCTGCGCGCCGTCGTGCGCGACAAGCTCGCCGATTTCTCCGAGAGCTTCACCGACGACGTGCTCGCGGTACGCGTTTCCGAGAGGTTAGATACGGTTTCGAAACGTTAGGTACGGTTTCGTGGCGTTACGTGCTGTTTCATGGGGAAACGTCCGATCCCGCAGCGCTGTAATACGCATTCATGGCGGCTGTGGGGATAGGATAGCAGCAGTACGTCCACTGATGAGTTGACTGTTGACTCGACTCAAAAGGCAACTCGCATTCATAGCGGCTGTACGTATAGAATTCGAATAGCAGTAGTGCGTGAATTAATTTAGCCATGCGTCGATACGTCGTACGAGAACTAATTTTTTTGCAAGATTGACGCCGTGTTGGCGGCGCGGAGTGATCGTAAGCATCCACTTGCCCCCCGATTTACGCTCGTCGTTCGCGAATGTTCGCCTTTCGCGATCTCCACGTCGCCAAAAGATCCTCCGCCAATCGGATCCGTCCGGAATTTCGCTAAGTTTCGACAGGATATTCACGGACCTTGGCATGAGATGTTCTTTAATGTTTATTGCCTCTGTTATTCAGTGACCCATACGGTCGTATGAACAACTGCTGGGCTTGGCTGCTCGTTATTGAACCACACCCTACTGAACAAAGACGATCTTTGTGTCGTATCCACAGTCGCTCTCGACTTCGCCGCTCATTGTTGAACCTAGCGTTTCTGTTTTTGTGACGCCTTAAAGATAGCGTTTCTGAGCAGCGGCGAGTAAAAACCAAGCACTCTCTTCTTCTTGTCAGAAGAGCTGTGCTTGGATGTTTGATAACATTTTGAAGACTAGGGAATACTAAATCTTCCCTTTGTTTCTCTATCCTATGCTTGACTATACCCTGCCAGGACTCTGACTAAGATCCGCCCTCGTCGCCCTAGCCTTAATCCGCCCTCGATGATCTCAATTCTTAATCTTCGAAGTTCATTGAATCTGGACATCCCTCCCATTCGCCGTGCAGGAGTACGTGGTGGCGCACAGCAAGCCCAAGACCTACGCAGCCGAAGATCTCTCTGCTCCTCATTTTCCAAATTCATTGAATCTGGACATCCCTCCCATTCGCCTTCCAGGAGTACGTGGTGGTGCTGGTGGCGCACGGCAAGCCCAAGAGCCATGCAGCAGAGGATCTCGAGGCCTTTCTGGGCGACCAAACCGCCGCCTTTGTTGACTGGTGGGTGCTGTTGGTTAAACGGATATGTCATTGCTGCTGGATGTGTCGTGGTGCTGTGCGGTACAGTAAGCTTCCGGTATCACGTTGTTGAATGTGTGTCTCTCGCCGTTTTGCGCAATGTCTCCTTGCATCATGTCTCTGAATTAATGTTGGACCATCTGTTCCCCCCGTGCCAGGCTGTGGGTTCATCTGTCGGCCAGCATTGGGAAATACAATGCGGCCGTTGCTTCAGACACCGATGGCGCTGGCAAGGATGTGAGGGAAGTGCCTTCAAAGGAGGAGGGGAAACGGGGCGAGGTGACACGAAACGAGGGACGAGGGAGAGGGGCTGGTGAAGGGAGGGAGGATGGCGGAGGGGTGTGGGAGGAGAAGGGGAGGGAGGAGAGGGGCCGAGATGGGAGAGAGAGAGATGAGAGGGGGAGAGAGGAGAGAGGGAGGGAAGAGAGGGGGCGAGAAGTGACAGGGCGGAGCAGGGAGAGGAGTGGTGAGAGAGGCAGGGAGAGAGAGGGGGAGAGAGGGCGGAGCAAGGAGCGCGAGAGAGAAAGGGACAGAGACGGGAGAAACCTGGTTGAAAGAATAGACTCGTGGAAGGGCAAGAGAGGAAGGGATGGGGTTGTTGGTGGGCGTGAGGAGGAAAGGGGGAGGGGGTATGAGGAGAGAGGGAGAGGGTATGAGGAGAGGGGGAGGGGATATGAGGAGAAAGGGAGGGGGTATGAAGAGAGAGGGAGGGGATATGAGAAGAGAGGGCGGCTTTATATGGACGAAGTACGAGGGACGGAGGGCGGGGAGGAAAGGGAAGATGAGAGAAAGACCGAGAGAAGAACGGAGAGGGGGACGGTGAGGGGGACGGGGAGGGGAGCTGAGGGGGACGTGTGGGCGCGTCGGGGTGGGTCTAGATCGTGGTCTCCTCCAAGAAAGCGGGAGGAGAGGGGAGAGGAGAGCGGTAAAAGGATGGAGGAGGCAAGGGGTGGGGACCTGGGAAGGGCTTTGAAAAGGCGGGCAACAGGGGAAGGGGGCGGTGAGGAGTTTGGGGAGAGGTATGAGGGGGAGAAGCAGGGGGAGGAGGGGGGGCGGGAGAGGGTGCGCGCGGAGAGGCATGGGGAGGAGGAGCGGGCGCGCATGAGGCGGCTGTTTGGCAGCAGCCTGGGGGAGGGGGCGCGCAGGCGGGCAACTGTGGAGGGAGGGAGGGCGGATGGGGGAGAGAGAGCGGTGGTGCGGAGACGGACAGAGGGAGCGGAGGAGGCGGAGGGGGCGGAGGGAGCAGTGAGGGTAACGAGGGCAGAGCAAGCAGCGAGAGCAGCACTGGAGGGCAGCGAGGAGGTTGTGAGGAGGAAAGCGCGTGGGTCGTTTGCTCTGGTGGCCGCGAGTGAGAGACGGGTAGAAGGCGAGGAGGAGAGATGGCAGGGCGAGGAGGGGGTGGAAGTAGGGGGGGAGGAGGAGCAAGAGGGAGGGGACGGTGTTGAGAGAAGGGATGGGAGGGGCGCGGATGGGGCACAGGGGGGGGCGGCAGGAGGGGTGGTGGTGGGGAAGAGAGGGCGGCGAGTGGGCGGGGGAGCCAGGGGATTGGGCGGCAGGCTGTGGCAGTTTGCGGTGAGAGATGCTGTGAAGCCTGCTCAGGGGGTGCGGGAGGTGCGGGAGGTGCGGGAGGTGCGGGTCCCTGCCCACGCCCATGCTGCTGCCGCCGCTGTTACTGCCGCTGGTGTGCCTGCTGGTGCTTCCGATGGTTCTGATGACACTGGTGGTGCTGATGGTGGTGCTGCGGGTGAGCGGCACGAGGAGGCGGCAAGGGCAGTCGCAGTAAGAGTGGGGCGAGTGGTCGTGTCTGCTCCCGTCGCTCCCTCTGCTGCTTCCCCTGGTGCGGTGAAGGCTGTTGCAAGGGCAGCTAGTGAGGAGGAGCAGGTGGCAAGGGCAGAGGAGAGAAGACATGCCGACAGAGGAGACGAAAGAGGAATGGAGAGAGGAGAGAAGAGGGAAAAGGATATAGGGGAGGAGAGAGAAGAGGAGGGGGGAGAAGAGGAGGAACTGGAGGAGGAGGAGGAGGGGCGTGGGGCGCGGAAGCGGTTGCGATCAGTTGTGGTGTCTCGTCCTGCTGAAGCCCCTCGTCGAATCAAGGCAGTGAGGAGGCAGGGGAGGGAGGGGAGTGGGGGAGAGGAGGCAGAGGACAGAGCGAGAGTGGATTCAAGAGCAGAGGGAGGGGGGAGAAGAGAGGACGATGAGGAGGGGAAAGAGGGGGCGGAGAAGGAGGGTGGTAGAGGGAGTGTGTGGGCGAGGCTGGGAAAACGATGTGTGCAGAGGGGTGGAGATGGGCGGATAGTGGTGCAGAGACAAGCGGAGCTTGGGGAAGATTATGGGGAAGGGTATGGGGGAGGGTATGAGGAAGGGTTTATGGGAGGGTATGCAGGAGGGTATGGGGGAGAATATGGGGAAGGATACGGGGGAGAGTATATGGAGGGGTTGAGAGGAGTTGAGCAGGGTATGTGGAGTGAGGGAGTAGAGGGGTGGGGCGATGGGAGAGGAGGAGAGGGAGGGGGGATGCGAGTGAGGTTTGGAGGAGAGGGGGAGGAAGACGAGGAGGAGGACGAGGAGGAAGACGAGGAGGGGGCTGAGGGCGTGGGGGGAGAGATGCAAGCAGGGGCGAAGGGAGGGGTGAAGAGAGGAGGAGGAAGCAGGGAGAGAGGCGTGAGGAGGATATTCGTGCGGGAGGATTTGATTCAAAGGGGCGTGCTTGTGAATGGCATGGGCATGGGTATGGGTGCGGGAATGGGAATGGGTCTGGGTGCGGGAATGGGGATGGGGATGGGAATGGGCTTGGCCGGGCAAAATGTAGGTCTGGTGATAGTCCCTGCCGTGCAGAACCAGCCGGTGTATGGGCAGCAGCAGATGATAGAGCAGTCTCAGTTGCAGCAGCAGACACCTCAGCCGGCTCAACAGCAGCAGCAGCAGCAGCAGCAACAGCAGAGGCCGCAGCAGCAGCAGAGGCCGCAGCTGCAGCAGCGGCAGTGGCTCAGAGTGCCTCCTCAGCAGCATCAGGCACAGCAGGACGGCACACAGGGGCAGCAGGCGCTAGAGAAGCAGCAGCAGGGTGTAGGTCGGCCAGTCGTTGCGCAAGGGGCAGGAGGAGTGGGGAGGGGGCAGGAGGATGGCGGAGTGCGGCGGTCTTGGCCTGGTGCTGGTGCTGGCTTGGGTGGCGGGCAGGGGAGGGGGTTGCAGGGCAGCCTGGGGCGGAGGAGGGGAAGCATGACTTGGGTGGCAAAGAGGGAAGATAAAGAGACAGAGAAGGAGAAGGAGAAGGAGAAGGAGAAGGAGAAGGAGAAGGAGAAAGAGAAGGGGAAGGGGAGTAAAGTCAGCCCAGCGGGTCAAAAGCAGGTGTGTATTTCTGCTCGTGCATTTGTGGTAAGTAGGTAAATCCCCCCCTCTTGCTCATTTCCTCGCCCAATCACTGATGTCCTCACAACCTTTCAACCGATTCACACGCTCTGTACTGTGTGGCAGGAGAGTGTGGAGGCAATGAGGCAGCGGCTGCAGCAGATGCAGGAGGAGATGAGGCGGATGAAGGCGCTGCAGGAGAAAGCTGCTGCTGCTGCTGCTGGTGCTGCTGGTGGTGCTGCTGGTGGTGATAAGGCTGCTGCTAAAGCTAGTATAGCAACGAGCAGTGCTGATGCTGCACCTGCTAAGCCCGCAGGTATTCACCTCATGCCGACTCACTACCAATAACCTCCTTACCCATGCTGCTTTCAAATTTGATCTCTTTGTTCACCCCTCACATTCCCCCTTTTCCTGTTACCACGTGTGTCTAATTCCCTGCTTTCCTGTCCGTATCCCTCTCCCTCTTTCATTCCCCTCTCCTCCCTTCTCGCAACCCATTATCCCTTGTTCTTCCCTCCTCTTCTTTTCCTCCTAACCCTCCCCCTCTCCTCTCCTCCCCGTTCCCTTCTCGCTCCGACTCGTTTCTACGCATCATTCACACCAGCTGCTCACCCCAACGGCACGTTGTCAACCTCACCGCACTCCACCGCACTGCACGGCCATGCACCCCCGCCCTTCTCCCTCGTGCGCAAGTCCTCAGGGGACGCTGACGACCGCTCCGTGCTCGTCTCAAATGTGAGCCCCTTTTTCTGCTCCTCAACACCGCACTCCACCGCACTCAACCACACCTGTCCAACCACCAAGTCTCTCTCCACGTGACGGCCGTTCTGTGCTCGTCTCCAATGTGAGCTCCCCTGCTGCTCTGCACCGTCATACACTGCACCACACTCCACCACCGCACTCCACCACCGCACTCCACTCCACCGCACTTCATTGCACCTCGCTCCACATCACACCTCACCACATGTATGCCATAACACTTCCCTTCTCAGTCCCTTGGTGCATGCTTCTTGCACATGTGCCTGGGCGCATGGCTTTTGCATTTTCTGATGTATCTCCTCTCCCATCTCCCATCTCCCCTCTCCCACCTCCCCTCTCCCGTCTCCGCTTTCCCCTCTTCTCTCTCCCCTTGCCCTCTTTCTCCCCCCTCTCTCGTCCCCCGTCCCCCATCTCCCGCTTTTCCCTCTCCCCTCTCCCTTCTGCTCTCTCTCCTCTCTCCTTTCCCCTCCCCTAGCCCCTCTCCCTCTCCCTTCTCCACTCTCTCATCTCCCATCTCCCCTCTCACATCTCCCTTCCCCCCCCTCCCCTCTCCCCTCTCCCGTCCGCCCACTGCCCTTCGCCCTCTGCCCTCTGCCCTCCTTCCGCCCCGCGCCCTGCCATTCCTCCCCGCAGGTGCATTTCGCAGCAACGGTGGCGGCACTCACGCTGCACTTCGCAGCGTGTGGGGAGATTCGCCGAGTCACCATCCTCACTCATCCCCTCACCGGCCGCCCTAGAGGGTAATTATTGCTGCCTGCTGCCTCTCACCTCATACTTGCTTGCACCGGGCCCCTTTCATGCAACCTGCTATCATGCTATGATGCTGTAGCAGCTACTTGTTGAGTCGACACAGAACCTATTTTTGACTCGACTAAAAAATATGTTATAGCAGCTACTTGCTGCTGTATCACTGTGAAGGTCAACGTCAGGCTTGTTGCTTCTAAATCTGTAACAAGCCTGTTCTGCCACGTGTCAAGTCTACACTCTTGCATCCCTCCTTCCCATTCTCTTCCCCTTCCTTGCCCCTGAAATCATACAATGTTGCCTTGCCTACTTTCCGCTCCTCCACCCTCGCCGGCTTTCCGCAGATGTGCTTATATCGAGTTCGCCACTAGGGAAGCTGTTGACAAGGCGCTGGCACTCAACGATGCTTCGTTTATGTCACGTCCGCTTAAGGTACTCCCACCTCTTCGCCACTCTACTGAGGCGCCTCAAAAATAGGCACTTCGTTTATGTCACGCCCGCTTAAGGTACTCCCACCTCCTTGGTACCCTTTGCCCCCCTCAACACCTTCTGCCTTCTGGTAAGCAATCCACGTGGGGTGCGCAACACGTCTCAAGGCATGGACAATCACAGTGATACAACAAGCGCTACATTGCAGATTGAGGCACTTCTTTTGGCTTCTTTTGGCCCCAGAAGGTAGAGATTCGACTTCATTAAGTCTCTTTTAAATATAGGCGTACGTGTTTGGTTGTGAGGCCTTCATCAGTTCCGCATGGCAACGATGCAATTCTCCCAATTTTCGTTCCTGAACCACATTCTTCCTTCCACCCGTCATTCCCCGCACCCCCTCCTCTGACCCAGTGGAGGCACTGCCCTCTGCAGCAGCACCCACACCAGCCATAACTCCCACTCTCCGCCCCTCTCTTCACATCCCCTTCCTCCCTTCTCCCCCCATCTCCCCGTCTTCCCCTCTGACCCGCAGATCATCCACAAGCCACATGCGGCGGTCGAGGCACTCCCCTCGGCCACCGCACCAGCTATCACTACTCCCACGCACCCTGCTCGCCCGCTCCTCACGCCCACCAAGCTCCCCTCCCCTGCTGCGGGCTCCAGCCCCACAGCCCTCGCCTCCCCCTCTGCACGTGCCCTGCCTGCAAAGGCCCAGGGTGTGGGTGTGAAAGCGCAAGGTGCCCGCCGGCCCTCTGCCAGAGGTAGCCTGCAGTGGAGGAGACAGCCTGAGGTTTCTGCTGCTGCTCCTGCTGCTGCTGCTGCTGCTGCTGCTGCTGCTGCTGCTGCTGCTGCTGCTGCTGCTGCTGCTGCTGGTGGTGTTGATGCTGCTGCTGGTGTTGCAGCTGCTGCTGCTGGCGCTGCTCCTCCTGCTGCTGAAGCTAAGGTTGAGGGCAGGGGTGGTGCGATAGGCAATGAGAAGGAAGCTGTGCCTGATGCGGTGCAGAAAGCAGCATCGCCGTCTGCACCTGCAGCAGCAGCTGCTGCTGCTAAAGCAGGCGAAATCAATGGGTGACTGTGGGTTTGTATCCAGGAAACAGGAATTTATTTGCTGCCTGGAGCACTGGCAGGGACAGCTACAGGAAGCATGGCATGCTGTTTCTTTGGTTCGCGCACGAGCCGTGTGGATCAGCTCTCATTTCTCTTTGTGGTTATAGGTTCAGTTATTTCACCAATCTGCAGAGGAATGAAGTATCAGGATATGAAACGTAACACCACTAAAACAAATGATTGATTTTGGAGCAGAATTCAAATTTCTTGCTGCTCCTGAGACATTTATTGCAATCTTATGTAGCAACACTCGCATACGTCCAACGCGTCAACGAAGCACCTTATGGAGTCAACGATTATGGACTCAGTGCACTTCGAAAGCACTCCCAGAAACTAATTGTGGCGACGTCGGCCATGTTCAACCCAACCCCATCGTTCTGTTAGCTAAATGTACCGCGATGACTTTTACCCACTACAAAGTTAAGTGCTATGTTGAGGAAACGTGGAAGGAAGTCGTGTAGTTCGAATGATATAATGGGATACCACAAATTCACTCTTCACACACATGCATAACTTCCACCCAGCGCAGAGCGATTTGCTGATGACGAGGAAACACAGGAAGCAACATGTGTACGCATTACAATGCAATACCATATCTCAGCGTCATGGCTGAGAAGCATATTCCATTCATTCATTCAGAGATGACAATTGGCAACCTGTAAAAATGAGGGGAAACGTTGGCAGTAAGATTGCCCAACCTCAACATTGAGAATCTGTTCAAGAACCTTGCGTTCTTGTGCTCCTGCAGTTGGAACGACCTTACTGATGATGGTGTTCATCCTCTACGCACGCTCTTTTGTACACACCTGTTATTTCGTCTGAAGCAGAAACGGTATCACATCACGATTCACAAGCCCGATTTGTGAAAAGCTGGTCTCTCACCATTACCGCAAACATCACACTGTGTGCATTGACGAAGCCATCCACTCGCATGCGGAGAGCATCCCATCGTATTCAAGCTCAGACACGTCGCTGCTTCGAGTTTACACTGCCTACCTTGTTCAAACGTGTCCCCTTAGCAATGATAATTCTCGCGTCAACATGGGTGAACGACGAATCGCATTGGCTCACTCTCGTCGAAGCCTGTCAGCTCAAGAAGTGAAAGGTACGCTTCAAGTGACGCATTTCGAGAATCTGAACTTCCTCAGTCGATGTGATTCTAAGCCTACTAAGCCAACTGTGTAGATCAGGAGCAGGCCTGTCGATTGACGGGCATATGCCCTTAATGTCCTGACATTAAGGGCTAGTTTTGATCCAGCTCCAATGCGTCAAGTTTTAGATTCGCACCCCACCCGTGCCACTAAGTGCTTCGTTCGACCCTTCCCCGGATGCGTTAAGGGACGAAACCAGGCCTTCCCCTTTATCTAAGTTTTGGTTTCCGATCGTAGGACCCCCCCCCCCCCCCCCCAGGGTGTCAGAGGACCCCCCCCCCTCCCTTTCTCCTTAGCCTACACGAGGGGATTTTTCCCTTAGCGTTTTCTAGCCAATCTCGTGTGTGTAGTGTGTCTCAGTCAGCCTTGGAGCACCCGAACATTCCCTTAGCGTCCAATACGAGCTGGCCGCAGGTTACAGCTGTGACACATAGGATTAGCTTGGGTGAATCTGGCTAAGTGTAAGTGTAGTGCAAACTCCTCACTGCCCGGATTTCAAGTTTTCACTTTGGGGTGCGCCCGTGCCCGTTAAGGGCGCCAAAACGCTCACCTACACCCAACCAAGGGTCAGATGGGGAGGAGCTGGGGAGCGCAAGTACGAGCCCCAGAAACTTCGACAGGCCTGATCAGGAGCAGCTCTTACTGAAGAAGTATGTAATGCGGCAACCAACCGTCGCCTCTAAGTCCTTCACGATTCCGACTCATAAAGACCACTGATCCTGACACCACAATAAAAATCGATCGTCAGACACGTAGCATTTCGTAAAATGACTGTCGAGGACTGATCACACCGATATTTGCGGGTCGCGCTTCCGAACCTTACATATTACTGAGGAACCTTCCATCAGATTTCTACAATCGAGAAAGCTACTCCTGAAAAAAATGGACGCTACTCTGGATACCCCTTGCAAGTGAATTTGCTTGTTGCTGATCGTGAAACCAATTGCACACATCCCACCCAACCATTCCTCGCACTCGCTTCATGCATCAGTAATGCAACAGAACGTGGGAGGTTTGCTCGTTGGCGGGAAAACTTTCAAATTTAGGAACTTGGTTCCGTGAAAGTTGGAAACGATCATCACATTTCCCACGATCACCGGAGACAGGTACAACTCTTTTGGACATGATTCAAGGCCAGGGGAGAAATCTGTTTATCCAGCGCAGCAAAAAGATCTTGAGTCTCGACGCGTGCTGAAGAACTGTTGCGATCTGATGGGTTGGGTTGGGTGGTGGACGGAAAGGGGCAAACGGGATGGTGGGTGGGAGGGAAGCTACAAAAAGATGCATTCAACCGAATTTGACCGACCAGCACCAACTGCAGGGCGAGGCCCTAGAAAAGGAACAGGCCAAATGAAAGGGGAACCCGAGCGGAGCGAATTGGAATCGGTGGTGAAGCGGGGTGTATTTTCCGCCCATACGCTTTTGGCGCAAGCCTGCCCGGATGTTGTGGGGGCCACTTGGTTTCCCCCCCACTTGGTTGTGTGGGGGCCACGCACACATTTTCCCCCGCTTTCGCTTGATGCGGATTGGAGGGGTTTGGCGCATCGCATCACAGGTCGCCCAGATTCCCACCGTGGCAAGTGCACCAACCACCGAGCACCATCTCCAGCAAGCTTGGCCATCACGTTTCGCTGACGGGGCTCTGGTGGTTGGCTTGCGAGATGGGGAAAATGCCTCGGAACAGGTGGCAATCTTGACGAGAGTTACGGGACAGCACAGCAAGATTATGCGAACAACTTTCTGCATATCGACGGCTGTGAAGACACCATACAGGTACTGTGCTGGACAGGACATCGCCATGCGCTGTCGCACAGCTTACGCGAAAAACACCAACATCACGGCGCCGATCGCCAGATCCCCTCCACGTACACAGATAGCACCAATCAGCGCAGCGTTTGCTCAGGAGGAATCAGCCACATGGACTTACCCCGCCCTTGCTGACGCGGTTGGTGTGCCTTTAATGCTGGAACAGTAGCTCACGTGGCGGAACAGCTGTGCGGAAGCTCCAGGTCGCGCCTTGGGATTGGGGGAGGGAAGCGGAATTAGGTGGAGGAAATGTCTGGCGCAGCCAAGCGAAAATGCGTAGCCTGCTTGATCGGCCCTGCTGCATTAGGAGAATCTGCGAGTACAAAGCAGCGTCAGAACTGCCATTGTTCATTGTCACTCCCATAAGTTACCTAGAGTTACCAGTTCAGATCTAAGCTCTCTAATTAACTTCCTGTACCCCTTAATCCGCCATGGCTGCCGAAGCTCCCAAGGACGATAAAGTGGTACGCTTGAGCGCACATTCTTTCTTTACGCAGCCACATGCAATGTATTTGGTCAAGCCGAGCGTTGTCCTTCCAATTCAATTGCGCGGTATTACAACTGCCTTACGTCCGACCGTCTTTTTCAGGTGTTCGACCCAGCGGCCCAGTCAAGGAAGACCACGCGTGCGGGAGAGCACATTCAGAAGGTGAAGGAGATTCCGGACTTCGCTCCCCCGGACATTTACGTCGCCAAGCTTGAGCCTAAGGAGGTTCTCCACAACCTCTCTGTCGCTGGTAAGCACCTGCTTTCAGCCGACTCACACTAGCGCTGCACACCCTCGGCGTTTCACGACAATTTTAGGCAGCTTATTGACTAGGATGTTGATAGATTAGTTGAAGGTTTCTAACAGACATTCCAGCGGCGGTGATGCGATGCAGAGCTGTACGAGCAAGCCATCGCCCATGAGGAGGGCAACTTCATCGTCTCCACCGGCGCGCTGTGCGCCATCTCCGGCCAGAAGACCGGCCGCTCCCCCAAGGACAAGCGTGTCGTGAAGGAGAGGGACCACGCTGACGACATCTGGTGGGGCGAGTAAGTACCGCAATCCCTCGCAGTCCCACTCAGATCCACGCATTCAAACGCAATTTCACACATTTATGCTTCCGCCTTGCCCTTTTATTCTACATCGAGTACAGCTCCAATTCTCTTCAATTTCTCAAATTCTCATCTTTTTTTTCTTATTCTTGGCTGTTTTCAGAGGGTCGCCCAACTACGAGATGGACGAGTACACGTTCATGGTGAACCGCGAGCGCGCCATCGACTACCTGAACACGATTGGCAAGGTGTACGTGCAGGACATGTTCCTCAGCTGGGACCCCAAGCTGCGCATCAAGGTCCGCATCGTCTGCGCGCGCGCCTACCACGCGCTCTTCATGCACAACATGTGAGTCCCCTCACCCTAAAAGCACCCCGATTGCAAATTCGGAGTCTCTCGATTTCGTCTTATTTACTTCGTGCACGATGCTCGATTATCTTCAATTGTGGTCCTGCATGGTTCTCATTGGATTCTACTCTCCCTCTGCATGGAATTCCTTTGTCTCTCGCCTCTCCAGGTGCATCCGCCCGACGGAGGAGGAGCTCAAGAACTTTGGCGAGCCGGCCTTCACCATCTACAACGCGGGCCACTTCCCCGTGAACCGCCTGTCCAAGTACATGTCGTCCGGCACCTCGGTCGACATCGATCTCAACCGCAACGAGATGGTGATTCTCGGTACCGAGTACGCGGGAGAGATGAAGAAGGGGCTCTTTTCGCTCATGAACTACCTCATGCCCAAGCAGGGCGTGCTGTCGCTCCACTCGGGTGCCAACATGTCCAAGGACGGCCAGGTGTCCCTCTTCTTCGGGCTGTCTGGAACTGGCAAGACCACCCTCTCCACCGATCCGAACCGGTATTTGATCGGTGATGATGAGCACACGTGGAGCGACGATGGCGTGGCGAACATCGAGGGCGGGTGCTACGCCAAGTGTATTAACCTGAGCAAGGAGAACGAGCCGGATATCTACA